TGTGGCTGCATCCGACCCGCATGTCACCGTGACCTGAATCCCGCCCATTTTCGTCGACCGCGGTGATAATTGGCGGCCCCGATTGTCCTGCGCCGTGACTGTCCCCCGTCAAGAATGTCCGTAAAACCAGATAAGAGGCCGCCAATTATCACCGCGGCCGACGAAGACGGGCAGGATTCAGGTCACGGTGACATGCGGGTCGGATGCAGCCACACAGGCGGCATTGATGGGCCAGGCATTGGACAAAGTGCGCCATAAAAAGGAAAGCTGTGTGCACGACTGCTCAGTCTCTGAAGATGGGTAGAATAAACGACTACCCGAAACGTCAGACCTCAAATACACCTCTCCCGGTGAACGCCTCCTCTTCTTTTGATATGCCACCCGGGAATCGCATTTTCACCACTATCGTTGAGAATGTCTTGAAGCGCGTACCTGTCTGCGTCAGATCTGATGGGTCTCCACAGTTTAACATCGTCAGCAAACATGATGGCGCTGCATCCCAGGTCGTCTACGCAGTCGTTAATGTAAATCAGGAATAGCAACGGCCCTAAGACGGAGCCCTGGGGTACACCACTTAGAACGGAGTAGGGGTTGACTTTGAGGCCTCAATGCACACGGTTTGTGATCTCCCGCTAGGAAAATCCGTTATCCATGTCAGCAGCCTTCCTCTTATCCCAATTTCAGAAAGTTTGTAGATTAGGCGTTTGTGTGGGACGCTGTCGAACGCTTTCTTAAAGTCTGTGTAGATGACATCGACCATATCATCCTTGTCCAATGCTCGAGTGCATTGTTCCGTCGAGAGTAATAAACTGGAAAGGCACGAGCGGTTCTGTCTGAAGCCGTGCTGCAGGTCTGAGAGTAAATGGCCCTGCTGCAGGAACTCCATTGTTGCTTTCTTAACTATGGCCTTCATTATTTTACAGCAGATACAGGTTAGACTAACAGGCCGGTAATTGTTAGCATTAGTGCGAGCCCCGTCCTTGTATATAGGAAAGATATTTGCTGTCTTCCATTCCGATGGCAGTCACCCCAATTCGAACGACGAGCGGAAGATGTGTGCCAGTGGTGTGGAGAGTTCATTCGCCAATTCTTTGAAGAATTTGGCCGGAATATTGTCCGGACCCGAGGACTTTGCTTCTTTGAGATTTTTCAGCTTCCTTTCCATGGCGGCTGCCGGGAAGTGTATGGAGTCAAGCACGGGACCAACAGTCTCAAGAGCATTGCCGGCACTGAGACAGCGAAACTCTGTTTCTCTAGTAAAAACCGAGGCAAAGTACTGTCCTAAGTGTTCGGCTTTCTCGCTGTTCTCAATTATCTCTACACCATTATCATCCTTCAGCACCGCGATGGGGTCCTTATTTTCAGTCTACTGTTAAGATAGTGAAACAAAATCTTAGGCTTCTGTTCAGCTTGTCGGATAATTTTGGATTCATACTCTTTCCTTGCCTGACGGATACATTTCTTGACTGCATTTCGTTGACGACGAAATTCTTCGAAATGCGTTGGTGACGCAGTTTCCCTGAATATTTTCCATCTTTAACTTTTCTTCCGTAGCTGCCTATTTAGGTCCCTAGTTAACCAAGGAGGTTGACAAGTTGTTTTTTGTACTTTAGGTGGACAACAGCGTCGAATCAGATCTAGTGAAATCGTCTTAAAAGATCTCCAGTCGTCCTCCGGATCTCCCCTGAGTAATTGGTTCCAATTCACGGACAGCAATTCGTTCTTCATTGTGTTAAAATCTGCCTTCCATATATTAGGTTGGCCCTCGGTTATCTTCTGGCGTTGAGAGAAACGCGAGTAATCCCATAGTAGCGTAGTATGGTCACTTTTCCTGAGAGGTGCATTAGAATACACTTCGTCGATATTAGAGAAGTCTGTAGTGAAAACTAGGTCTAGACAATTCGCTCTCTGGTTCTCTCGAAATCTTGTTGGTACCTTCACATGTTGCGCCAGAGGGAGATCGAGTGTGAGGTCCAGTAGCTTATTGGTGAAAGAGGCTGGTCCACCATTAACTGCCATATTTTCCCACTCTATTGCAGGTGCGTTGAAATCCCCAGCTAAAGTACCTCTTGGTGGCTAGCTACGTCTTTGACTAAACCAAGGAGCGACTCATCAGCTGCACTCAGAAGATTTGGTGGTCTGTACCTCGCCAGAAATTCTAGATTTTGTGCATTGCTCTTCTTTATCTTTATCCAGACGGATTCATATTCAAGGGATAGTGTGTGGGCTCTTTCAACTGCTGAAATTCCTTCCCTTACATATACGACTAACCCTCCGCCCTGCCTATTTTGACGGTCTCTATGAAACAGCTGGTAACCCGGTATCGAAATCTCAGCATCCACGATTTCCCCATTAAGCCAAGATTCCGTTATGGCGATGGCGTCGAGAATTCGTTCTGATACTATCGCTTTGAGTTCATCGATCTTCGAAACGAGACTTTGTGCATTGGTATACAAAAATCTCAATTTGGCACGGACAACTCCGGCATACAGGCATTTATCCATCTCCTGAGATTGAATGCAAAAGCCGGTCTGAGCTGGTCGGGATGAACTGCTTTCCATCACTTCTAAGCTGTTGGAGTTATGGGCTTTCTCCAGAGGAATGGCCTCTGGACGCGTATAATTTTTCCGTCCACTATTCGGATATTTGTCTCGCCCAGACTCGACCGCCTTAGGATTTCCAATTTGAGCCCCCTCCATTTTTCTCGCTCCGCGGGTGAAAAGTTCAACTGAAAAAAAACCGATGGATGGGCATGTTGAATTGCAGCTTTCCTGCTCAAAATTAGCTGCGCTTGTTCGTCATTCTCAAGGACAATTTTTAACGGTCTCGGTCGGTCTGGTTCATGATTTGAGTCTTTTATTTGACCTACCCTGAAAGCCTTTAATACTGTGACTTTCTCGCCTCTTATTAAGGCTCTTCTGAAATGCCTTCTGTAACAGATACGGCTGTGCAGGATCGAATAGCAAGAAATAAAATTGACAGCAGTCAACAAGGAAACCGGAAAAACGAGAAGAAATCCGGCTGTAAAAAAGCCAACGAAACTGAGCAGCCGCTTCTAAGTGATATTCCCACAGCACCCGAGCCAGAAACCACGACAACTGCCCCGTCCATAACGGTTAATGCCGAAAGTCCAAAAACAGTTCGTAACGCCCAGAAAACTCTTGGATCGGATGAACCCAGCACAAGTATTGGTATTGAGGCAATTACCGAATCTACAGACCGTCATTCGCCACCGTCCTCAGCTGCCTCCTACAAGTCAGTTAAAACTGGCGTCGATCATCGAAACCGCGATATAGAATGTGTTGCACCACCGTCATCTAATACCCTTAAAGTACCACATCCATCAGAGAGAAATGCGTCAACAAAATATACGAACGATATCGCCAGAGACCAATGTCTCGTTATTCAGGGGCTCCCTGAATCTAATGCCAACACTCCTAGAGAGCGGGTTTCGGAAGATCTAAGGTTTTTCCATGGCTTGCTCAACAATATCCTGGAACCCACTGAGGCAATTGAAGTACTCAAAGCCTTTCGTCTCGGAAAACGGACCAGAAGTCTGCCAACACCAACACGGCCCCGACCTCCCAAAGTTGTGCTGGCTTGTAAGGAGCAAGCTGGGTTGATTCTTTCTCGGCGCTTTAGAATAAAAGGCACCAACCCCGGCGTTTTTTTTCAACCGGATTACTCACCAGCAGAGAGGCTGAAACGTCGTCTTCTAGTTCTAGAGCTGAGGAAGAGACTCAGCGAAGGAGAACGGAATTTGGTTATCTACAACAACCAAATCAGACAGCGCCCATCATCCTTTCTTTGGACGGGCCCGATCCGGATGACCGCGCAACTGGAATAGTAGGCGAAAGTCCTAGACGCACCAAAATTACTTCTCGGCCAACCATAAATCGTAAACTGAGATTTCTAAATACAAATGTGCAGAGCATGTTGTCGAAAATTGACGAGCTAAAGATCCATCTATCTGATCTATCCCCGGATATAATCTCACTTACAGAAACTTGGCTGAACCAGCAGGTGGACAACCGTGAGTTAACTATACCAGGATACCAGTTGTTTAGAAGAGACAGGTCAGGACGTCAGGGCGGAGGTGTACTCACGTATGTAAAACACGGGCTTATAGTCTCAGACAAAACAGATAAACTTTCGTGTACTTCTGAGGCAATTTGGCTAACTATAAAAGCACCGTGTTCACCGAGCCTTGACGTCCTGATGGTCTACCGACCGCCGAGAAATGATCCCACGGCGGACGCCCGTCTGATTGAGGACCTGGAAAGATTCTCTATCCGGTCTGACGTCTTAATTGTGGGGGACTTCAACGCATCTGTTATCGACTGGAGTTCAGCTTATGCATCTGTTCCAAACCATGCTTTCGACCGACGTTTGCTGGACATGACCCTCAAGTTATTTCTCACTCAGCACGTCTCTTTTCCGACGAGGGTGCGCGAAGGGCAACAGTCAAACTGTCTGAATCTGCTCCTTACGAAGTCACTGGACAGCATTGATGAGGTGCAATGTCTACCCCCCCTAGGTCGAAGCGACCACGTCGTACTGTTGTGGGAGTACTCCATTTTTTCTCTACCCGAACAGGCCACCAGGGTTAGAAGGAACATTTGGCGCGGTGACTTTGCCCAAATGAAAGCTGAACTAAATTCCATAAACTGGGAATCAGCTTTTTCCGGTGATATAATCAAGGATTGGGACTGGTTTATTGGGTTACTGCACGTTCTTCTCAGAGACCACTGTCCTACTTCATGGAAGAAACTGAACAGCAGACCCCCGTGGCTAACACAAGCATTAAAAAAAGAAGTGAATAAAAAGCGGAGGTTACGGAGAAAATCCCTCTCGGATAGGAGCTCTGTGTCGATAAATGCGTACAAAGCACAGAGGAGCCTAGTTAGGATGTTACTCTTAGGGACGCGGCGTACTTTCGAGAAAGACCTACTGAATCGAGCCGCAGAAAATCCGAAGTTATTCTATGGTTACATAAGAAGAAGCACGCGAAACAGAGATCCAACCCCGTTACTGAAATCTAGTGACGACCTAGAACTCAGTGAAGACGGAGAAAAGGCAGAGCACTTTTCACAATTTTTTAAGTTCATCTTTACGAAGGAGAGCATATTTCTCCCTCCCGACTGCGACATAGTGGACGGGCCAACAATCGAGCACGTCTCTTTCGCTGAAACTATTGTTCGCAAAGTACTGTTGACGCTGAATGAGTCCAAATCACCGTGGCCGCATGACATACCGCCGAAATTTTTGAAGGAGCTTGCTGGAGAAGCATCTAAACCGCTGTCCATGCTCTTCCAAGCTTCATTCGAAGCAGGCTTCTTTCCCGCCGATTGGAAATCCGCGCGGATCATGGCAATTTATAAAGGCGGCAGCAAGGTCTTAGCAAAACAACTACAGCGAGAAATAATGCGCTTCCTAGAAGAGCATAATCTGCTATGCGATGCCCAGCACGGATTTCGTGGAGGCAGATCATGCGTGACAAATCTACTTTATTGTTTAGATCGCTGGACCCGGGCAGTCGATGGCGGCAATGCAGTGCACGCAGTCTACGTCGACGTTAAGAAGGCATTCGACAGTGTACCACATCAGCGTCTCCTGTACAAATTAAGCCGGATAGGCATAAGGGGTAATCTCCTGAGGTGGATACAAAGTTTCTTGATCGGTCGCTCTCAAATCGTCCACGTCGATGACAGGCAGTCGGCGGAGGTAGCGGTTGAAAGCGGTGTTCCGCAAGGCTCCGTTCTTGGCCCTACCTTATTCATTATATACGTCAACGACTGCGTCAGTGAACTGAATTGTAATGTCGCCATGTTCGCTGATGATGTTAAACTTCGGAGCGTCATCCGAACTGAATTGGACGAAGAGCGCTTGCAGGCAGACCTGACCCGACTCGAGAAATGGTCACAGGACTGGCTTCTGCCGTTTAATGTGACTAAGTGCAATGTTTTGCGAGTCGGCAGGACCCGATCTCAAAGCCGGAGGGTTTAATACCTAAATGGCGTACCACTGGAGGAGGTAGACGCCCAGAAGGACTTGGGTGTGTGGGTAACGGCTTCTCTAAAACCGTCCCTCCACTGCTCCAAGTTAGCCAAGTCTGCGATGACAGTCCTTTATCTTGTCAAGAGAGCTTTCTCTACCTTCGATGAGGACTGCTTCGTTAAAGTCTTTCGGACTTTCGTACGGCCACAGCTAGAGTTCGCTAGTCAGGCGTGGAAACCCTGGACCTCTAAAGATCTCAGCACCCTTGAGAAAGTCCAAAGGCGGGCGACCAAACTAGTAAGTGGACAGGGTTCACTACCCTATGAAACACGTTTGTCCAATCTCTGACTTTTTCCACTGAGTTACAGACAGCTAAGAGGCGACCTTATACAAACATTCCGTACACTGCGCGGCCAGGACTGCTGTCTCGTACCTGCTGATTTCTTTGAGTTAGCGACCACAACGAACCTCCGAGGTCATCCACTTAAACTACGCGTAACTGGCGCCAAGCTGGATATTCGGAAGTTCTTCTTTTCAAACAGATTGATTGAGGCCTGGAATGCTCTGCCTACAGATGTCGTCATGTACACCTCCGTCGAGGCTTTTAAGCGCAAGTTGGACCAGTTTACCACCAAACGTCATAATGCCACCTGACCGACAACGTCTAGCATTTAGTTCGAGCAATTTGTTAATGCTGTTATATTACTTTCTGTATTTCAGTAACGTTTGTTTTTTATTATTGTCCAATGTCTGTTGAATGTGTTTTGGCGTCTTATTCGTTTCCCTCAGAAACTGGGATAGAACCAACTATCCATAGACAGACTACTGCACAGCACACTTAGTAACGTTAATGTTTTTAACTCTTGGAACAATTCGTTTATCTGTCTGGCTCGAAAACTTTGCCAATCTGAAGACACTCTGCAGCTGTTTGATGTTTCCATTTCAACTTTTTGATATAGTTCGCTTCCTTGTAACAAATAGGGAGTTCAAAGGTTCAACACCTATATTTCCCTCAAATAAACTGAACTGAACTGAATTCCTGGAATATTTCTATGTCATGCTGTATTCTGTCCTTTGGAGTGTCGGAAACAGACTCAGGCATGCCCTTTATAACAATGCATTTACTGCGATCAACTAGACGGCCTTGTAGTTTAATCATACCTGCAGAGTCTTCATCGTGGATATCCCGGCTACCGCCTTCCACCGATTTAGGAAGGTTTGATTCGGCAGAACTAACGCATGACTGCCTGTTTTCTACGATCTTTTGATCATTTATCGTTTTCGGCGGCGCGATTTTCGTCTGTAGTGTAGACAACTCTTGTTCCTTTGTCTGACGATCTGTGCCTTTTCGAGGTACCCTGAGATTTCTTTTTGTTCGCTGAGATCGCGTCTTACCACGCTTTTCTAGCTCAAGACACTGGTTGCCATTCCTACTATTTTCTTTCTCCTCTGTCGACACAGCCGAGGAAGCCGTGTTTGCGTATGTTCGCGCCCTTTCATCCTCTTTGGCTGAAAAGCGAGGGAGATTCCTCAGCTTCTCCATCTCCAATTTAATGCCCTTTATCTCCTTCTCCATTTCCGCAAATTTTTGAAGGAGTCCGAAACATGTCGTACAGGATTCGTCTACGTATTTGATATCCATACAGCTAACTAGACCCCTTGCTCGTTTAGCAGGAGATGACTTGACAGCGATATATACAGAGTTGCAGTCGTTTTTACTACGAATAATGTGTACTCCTTTTTTTATTTCAGCCTGTTCGTCGTGCGCCGATAGTCTAGTGGTCATCTCCCTCGTCAGTCCGCGACTGGACCTGGGTTAGAATCCCTCTTGGGGCGAGTTTTTCGCGCCTTGTCCTGATGGTGTTTTGTCGACTGCAATTATTAATTCAAACGATACGCAAGGGATTACAGGTACGGACGAAGTAGTTAACCGCGGTTTACCCACCATCGTTTGTTTGCACAAATTCCCTTAAAGCAGTCAGCTCTGTTTCGAGTTTTTGAACTTTCAACAGAATATAGGAGCATCCAGCGCACGGCTCGTTCTCCTCACTAACCGATTTTGTTGTGATAACGCTTTTAGCGCGCTTTGCGGACCCCTGGTTGCAACTATAAAGAGAGCGATAGCTAATCCAGGGTGGCAAGGCCATCTCAGTAGACTTTCCTTCAAGCATAGTGCCGGTTCTGGTCGTGAAACTACCAAAAAGTTTCTCCGTGTCCATGAACTTTGTGTGTTTGTAAATGTATATTTGCTTTCAAGATTCTAAATGGTACTTACAACTGTGCACGGTGGAGTATGGCAAATATTCAAAACCAAATAGTCGAAAATACGTCTATTTTAAAAAAAAGTCGCTGTAGAGGGAAAATATTAACGGTATAAAATATATATAGGAGCGACTGAGCCGTTTTGAGTAGATCGAAGGTCTTGAATAGCATTCTTGATCTTCCTGGGTGTCAACGATTTGTTTTCCTAGGCCGATATCTACGCGCGGATCGACTGCGTATTCCGTTAGATTTTAAGGAAAAATAAATTCCGCTAAGAAACAGACTTCTGATAAATTTCCCCGTGATCAAAATATCCAGAGACGTAGAAAGTAATTCGGTACGTACAGTTCCAGTGACAACCTCAGAGACAGTAGCTGTGAAGTGGTATCTAAGTCAAAGTAATCTCAGTTGGAGCTCAGAAAATGTCGTTGTGCTCACCCGGGCTCGGTCACAAAAAATGCGTAAGGGTTGCCCTCGGTTACCTTCTTCTATAGGCAACACTCAAAGATCTACTTGCACAGTATGTGTGGGAGACAACCGGTTAGTTTTCTGATCTCGTCATTACACGATATTCCGACAGAATAGACGAGACATTCAGCATAGCTCGGCAACTTCGGATGGATCCTGTGATATTACATCGTCAAATGGTCTATCTCCTCTTAAGGGAATACTGCGTCGTCATTTTAGCACTGACTCGACAAAACTCGTTCCTACCTTATCCTTCACGAGCAGCTTCCCAATTGCTTAGAGAAAGGACGATCGTTCATTTAGGAACCAGTCCTCAAATTACCTTGTCGACCTGCAATTTCTTCTCCGCGTCTGGTTTCGCCCCTCACGATCTGTAATCGAAAATCTAGACTATCTCAGTTTAGACATCGTGGCGCTTTGGAAGCAAGACGTCTTCCCCTACCACATCCCCCTCCTCGGAAAAATAATTAGGGCTGTCGCGATACATACGTTCTAAATCAAATCCATTTTGCTCGCCGCTCATTGTTATGAAGACTCGGTTTTAGCCGCTAGGATGTCAAGGCCTCACCCCCATTGTCGGTCTCGCCGTAGGTCTGCACAACCTAGCATCCGCAGGTGCACCAAAATGACGTTTCGCTCAAGTTTTTTGTGCCTAGCTTTATAGTTGCGTCCTCCTGAGGAGGGGTATGCCTTGCTTTTCCATATCAATCGCCGAAGTTGTTTATTATTTACAGATCACTTTTAAATTCAAAAGTGATTTGCCACGGCTTCGATCGGAGCTCACAATTCCTATTAAAAACCTCCAATTTGAGATTTGTTTGTAGTCTTATCAAGTCTATCGTATAAGTGAGGAAAAATCTATGGCAGATATAAAAACTTCGTTTGGTTTACGTAACAAAATTTCCGAATTCCGTCGTACGTCTGGCCGCTCGCACGAAACGTTACAGTCAACATTGTCTGCATTTTGACATGTGATTCGGCATTGACTCCGTTTCAGCAATGCCCATTGGGTATTTAAAAATAAAACTATTATTGTTTATGGGAGCTCTGTCTACAAACTGCGCCATATGCAATACATGAAGTAAGACCAATTAAATGGCAAGGAGACAATAGCCTTATGAGTACAAAGGCATCGTGCAAAGTCTACGGTGCTCTCTTCTCAGGAAACATCACCGAGGACTTGAAGTTATTCAGTTAGGGTTTGTTGCATCTCGTGAAGAACCGCTGCCCCTTATCAAGACCCAGGAAAGGTAACCGGTATCAGCAGCTAACAGAGGATCTAGAAAACGGGGAAAAGAAAAGAAGGTTGTAAACAAATTTCGGTGGCATTAACGAAAGTGCAGTCCTTAGGGACATAAAGCTCTGAAAAAAGACTAGACGCTTAATTTCCAAAAGCGAAGAAATCTCGTCTGAAGTTTGTTCAACTCAGCTTCGGAAATTCCAACTTTCTACATGGCCAAACATGAAAAAGCACATGCAACGATAATCCGGTCCTTCCTATTAAGAATAATGAGGGTCTTGTGATATCGGACAGCTCAAATAAGGCCGATCACTTTCCTCAGTTCTTCCAGTCTGTTTTCACCAGCAGGGCGGACTTCACTTCACCCAGCTGAGCGAGCATGAGAACATCAACTATTGAGAATATTCTCTCTGCGATTTTAAGCCCACTTCTAAGGTAATGAAAGTATGTCAACTGAGCTATAAGATGTTGACTCGTCTACTGTGGTTAAATAGTTCATATATTTCATACCACTACTACCCCTCTTCTCTTGTTCTGTCAAAAGCAAGAAAAGATCTTTGCTTTTCGTCGTCCTACTCTATGAGAAGTCCGGTTCAGTTCAATCTTATTAATGGGAAATATAGGCGAATGGCTTTAAAATCGCTATCGTTTACATATCGCCTGAGAGCAAGCCCGATAAGGAAAAAGTTGAGAGACAGAGAGGGAGAGATTGCGTAAATACGTGCGAAAGACAGACAGGTGTCTGCTAGTCGAAAAAGGATAAACATGAACGACTACTCACCGATTGTAAATGCTATATGCGTAATGATTTGAGTGGCAGGTTAAGTGAGTGCATGTATGGCTGGTAATTGGGGAGCTTAATAATTTTTGAAACTACATTTAAACGAATTCACACAGAAGGAGAGCACAGCATCAGTAGGCAGGGCGTTCCACCCTGCAGCCAAGCCGCTGTTTTAGGGGATGACTGCGCAAAGCGGGCGAGCTAGAAAGAGTGAGAAAACCACTGGGACTTAGCGACAGCCCAGACCATTCACCATACGGAAGGTTAGTATAAGGTCACCACCAAGTTACCTGTAGGCAAGCGGGTATAAGTTGATAGCTGAAAGTCTGGTTTCATAGGGCAGTGTTCCAAGACCCTTTGTCGTGTTGTTACCCACGCTGGACCTTCACTAAGACGGTACATTCCTTGAAAGTCCAGAGTGAGCCCACCGTGAGCCCAAGTGAGCACGACGGAATTATTCTGCGCTCCAACTGGGACAATTTCGACTTGGTTACCATTCCACAGTTACAGTCTCTGACATTGATACTGGAACCGTACGTACAGAATTACTTTGTGTATTTTTGGAATATTTTTTCACGCATCGAAATTCGCCAGGAACCTGGATTAAGTGCAATTTGTTTATCAGCACGGTCCAACTGACAACGCAACTGGCTACGCAACCGATTCGCGGATATACAGCCCAGAAAACCAATCGCTCAAACTCCTTCAAGGTCTGCAGTTATTCAAGTCCCACGAGATCTGGAATAGGGCTAAGTCGCTTCTGATTAAATTCAACAAAATTTATCGGATTTTAAGTATTTTTTCGCTTATTGAGTTTCGAATACTCACTTTAATTCATCATATATAAGCCGACGTATTCGTTATAACATCCAAAGCGAAATAATACCTATTATGTCACGTCGAAGTTTATGGATTCTCAGCAAGCTAACTGTAGTAGTACGGCCAGCGACGGCACTTCTTTGGAAGATAAGTCCGGTGAGTTGTCCTTCGCATCCAGAACCTGTGCTCGCTCTACCTTAGCCTCCAGCCAACGACCAGCAAAGCGTGCAAAAAGCGTAAATACCGCAAAAAGTGTGAGGTACGAAGACAAGCCTTGTGCGCAGATATTCAAATCAAAGTAGAACAACTGGAAAAGGAGCTTGCTGATTTAAGGACGCTCGTGCAACAGACCGTAGTCGGCCAGAACGTGTCCAGTGTTAGAATCCCAAAAACGAAGAGCAAAACGCAAAAAACGCGAAAAACTATCTCCTCGGGGGAATCTTCAAACAGGAGTTGCAACTCAACAGCCAAAACCGCAGACGCCGGTAACAGCAGCCAATGAAAACGAAGCCGCCGATAAAGGGAGACTCGATTCCCACGCACGATGTCTTAAGCGATGTCGCAAAAAAATTACCTGTCGCGGAAGCCATCTCACCTAAGCCTCTTGCTGTAAGTGATGGGATTTCTCTTCTGCCCGGAGACGATATACCTGGGTCATCCAGTCTACTGTTGCCCTCTTGTTCTGGCAACCACCCCGAGCGCACTACAGAGCACGTATCTGAATGCGAAGACATAAACCCGTGGGTAGAGGGGAGAGGGAAACGCCATGACAGGATTCTGAAGTCACAGCCAGCCCTGATGGGTTGCTCGGGACAGACGGTAGACAGTAAAAGTGTGCGTTCAAGCGATGACTCCGTAAATCGTCCTCGCTCACATGCAGCGCATTCACCGGAAAGACGGAGTAAGGGGGACCATGCTCGCCAGCAGTGTTTGGTTATTCAGGGTTTGTCAGAATCGAATGCAGTCAGACCTGAAGACCGTGTCTCAGATGACCTTGCTTTTTTCA